CTAAAAATTAAAAGCTGCAAGGCATATTAAATATAAAATTGTTTTACATTTAAACATTTTAATATTCCCAAACAAGTTAAATTGGCCACCATGGCAGAAAGGAGACTTCCAACCATAAAAGAAAATACAGTCGCTGTCTCCTACCCAAGCAATAGATGGGGGGATCCCTTCCACAGCACTAGCACTATATATACACATGAAAATATAAATAGTAATAATAGTGACTGAGTGCTAACAGGCATTGTTCTGATGTGTTTTCAATTAATTCCCACAAAAATCCCATGAAGTACAGTATTTTCAAATTAAGAAACAGCCATAATGAGGCCAGCTAAGAGTAAACTTAGTAGAAATTCCACATATTTATATAAATCTGGTAGAGCCACAGCTAAAAACAAGACCCAGAAAATCAGATTATAAAACGTCTGCAAACCTGGTAAGATGAAATATTCACAAACCATAGCAATGTTGTCTAAAAGATTAGCATCTCTGCATCTCCCATCTCTGTGCGATTCTTACCAAAAGAAAGGGACCTGACAGACTCTTAGGGAGAGAAAAAAAGAGACCAGGCTCTATTTTAGCTTGCCACAGCACCTCACTTCTACCTTGACGTGAATCATCCCTTAGTTCTCTTCACTCTGACATTCTAATTACCAAACAAAATACATACAAAACAAACAAAAAACCTCATAAACTTAAGAAATGTATCAGTTATGACAATTTATGTTTAAAATATTCTTACTACATGATAGCTCAGGGCTCTAGAGCCAGACTGAAATCCTGGCTCCATGACTAACTGGCTGTATGACTTTGAGCAAGTTACTTATGCTTCAGGTTCCTGTAAAACAGGATTAACAACAATGGCTATATATAGTGTGTGTGTATATGAATAAAACACGGTGCTTACTGTGTACCAGGTACTGTTCTAAGCCGTTTGGACAGATCTCTAATACAGCAAACACTATTTTATGACCTCTTTACAAAAGAGGCACTGACAAAGTAATTTGCCACGGTCACATGACTAGTGACAGCAAGACTCCCATAAGACAGTGCATCTCCGGATTTATCACTAGGAGTAGAATGCTCATTGGGGTTACGAGGCTAAACAATTAACAAATGCCAGTCCAGTAGCTGGCAGGTAGTAAACACTCAATATCCACTGTTATACGACTAGTAGTAAGGCAAGACTTGAAGTCATAAATCTATTATCGCTGATAATTTAGTTAATTCACTTATTAGGCTCTGATTTGCAGCAATCCTAGAAACCAAGCCTTCTTGACTCTCAACCAAAAACTCCAGATAAACCACAACAAAAAAAGAGAAACAAAACAAATGGAAATCAATTTACCAAAAGAATGTTTCCAGGCTGGCCATTTCCTAAATACTGTCCTTGGAACCAGATTATCTATCCTTCAAATAGCCGAAAAAGGGGAGGCGGAGCTTTCTACATTCAGTAACGTAACTTAAATCCCAACAAAAATGGGAATAACTTTTAGACCTACTAAGCCAAACCCAGAGGCTAGCGTGTCTTCAGCATTAAATTTCAACGTTTCAGGATGGAGATTTAGCTCAGTGGTTCCGCCGCCTGCCTCGGAAGTGCAAGGTCTCGAGTTGGATCCCGGTGCAAAAAAAAAGAAAAAATTCAACGTTTTAATGAAATCACCAATCCTCTTCCTCCTCCTCGTCTTCATGTAACCAGCACCAAACCACATCACCTTTCCAATAAATGCTAGACCCTCAGACTTTTCTTGGCTTCTCGGCAATACATGCAAATCTCTCCCTTGTTTTTACTGCTGGTCTTTTTTTTTTTTTAAATTCTTCTAAATAGCTAACTATGCTGATAGGGAGAACTGTGCCCTTCTAGACACCACCTAATAGCACATCTGAGCCGGGCGTGGTGGCTCACGTCTGTAAAGCCAGCACTCCAGGAGGCTGAGGCAGGAGGATCGCAATTCGAGCCCAGACTGAGCAACTCAGACATTGTCTCAAAATTTTTTTAAAATGTAGAAAAGGCTGCAGATGGAACTCAGTGCAGAAATCCAAGGTTCAATCTCCAGTACTTAAACAAACAAACAACACATCTGAAGATGCGTCTCCTCTTCTTTCTGACAGGTGGTTCGAGCTTCGCCCGCCCAGGCCAGGGCTCGGGACCTGGGGGTTTTCACCTCCTTCAGACCCAGCCCGTCTCCAAGACCTCACTCCGAAGAGACTGGTGAAGCTGATCCATCTCCATGCTCCCGAGGACGCCCACGGCGGTTCCCAGCAAAACACACCTTGTCTTTCTCACAAAGAGCCGGGTGGGAAAGAGGGATGCGTACCTCCAAACCCTTGGCCCGCAGCACCCTGCCTCCGTACCCTCTTCAGGCGCGGCCTCAGAGCAGGGCACGCCGCGTCCGCGCCCCGTACCACCCACTCGAAAGCGAGCTCCCCGGGCCCCGCGGCCAACGTCCCAGCCCCGAGCACCTCGCGTCGGCCCGTCCCCTCCCCCACCCACCCGCCCGCCTCGGCCCCTCACCCAGAGACATATCGATTTTGTCCAGGTTCTCATTACTGCGGGCTTTCGGGGGCGGCGACGGGGTCGCCGTGGCTCCCACCAACCGGGTACCAAACCGGTTCATGGCTCCGAAGCGTATCACTGAGCGGTCAGCCGATAAGGCCGGAGTCGCAGGGCCGCCGCCTCCCACTCCCGCACGCAGACTGGCCGCACCGCGGCTGCGCGCACGCGCGCCGGCGGCGTCCTCGCGCTCCCCACCGCGGCCGTGGGCGGGGCAGGGGCTACCGAGACAAGCTGCGGGCCAGAGCGGCCCGCGCCGGCGCTTGTGTCCGGTGCTCCTCGTTGGTTGGGACGCTGCGCTGGCACCTTGGCTCGGAGCACCAGGAAGGGTCGCTGTTTCAGCTGTTCGACTTCGGCGCCAGTTGGGGGACGCCAGAACTTATGCACCTCAAAATCACATGCCTAAAATGATACCATAATCCTGCGGGTCCCTCCTGCATAAAGGCCCCCCGTGTTTTGGTGCACGCGCACCTTGTACACGCTGCTGCAATGCAGCCCCGGACCCCCGCCCGGGCACATTGCAGCGCTGCTTCCCAGCCCTCCTCTCCCCGGCGCGCTCCTCCACCTGCAGCACCCGAACGCAGAAGCTGCAGTGACCTTTCTTGTGTCACTTTAAAAATCGAAGTACATGATAACGTTTGCCGGGTCTGCACCACCTCGCAATCCGCTCTCTCAAAACACTGGGCACGGTCCTAACTACCTTAGTAAGACCTCATCTGGGTAAGTACCTCTGCTTATGTAGCTGCGTTTTTCTCTAATTCGTTTGCGTTGGCAACGAATAGGATTCGTTTTTTTCTCTAATCATCCTCATATGAACTTATTAATATTTGTTGAATTCCTGTTTAATAACTGCTCCCCTCCTCATTTATGAAGTGTGATCTTCTCACCTCATTCTACCCGCACAAAGGGCTTGTGTAGAAACAGGGTTATTTTATCCTCATAACAACTTAAAACTGAGACATTTGTGTCTCAGGAAGAAAAGAGGGACAGGTATTCTGTCCACCTGTACATCTCTGCCACTTTTCTCTCCACTTCCTACAATTTCTTTAGCATAGAAATGAGCCAGAGCTTTTCAGTGGCGTAAAGCATCTCAAAACCACAGTAGCCTGTGCTTAATTTAGTACTGTCACAATGTCATGCGGTTTCCAAGTTCAATGACACTTTTTACTATTTTTGATTGGGGAGCTCATGTCTTAAAATACTTCATAATATGCAAATTGCATTTATTAATAACTTTTTGCCAACTTTTAGTAACAAAAACTCAACTATGTCTCTTCTCCCCTTTCTGTGTCTGAATTCAAAGCAAGGGTTGCAGTGACAATTTTGGGGGTCACCTTAACAATAAACTACAAGTGCCTGTTTTCTGTATCTGTAACATGGATAAAACCGAGAGCCAACCCACTGAGTTATGTTTCCAGCCAAAGAAAGAACCATGACTTTTTTAGTCTTATCTTTAGGAAATGTATAATTTTTATTAGGCTTTTGGAAATATTATAAGCAACTCTTTTTTTCTCTAAGGTCATGTTGGTTGGTAATCTTTCCATGAAAAAAAGATAACCATTTAGGGCCGGGGATTTAGCTCAGTGGTTCCGCCGCATGCCTTGCAGTGGAAGCACCAGAGTTCGATCCCTGGTACCAAAAAAAAAAAAAAAAAAGTGTATTGTGAAATGTTAGTTTTGATGTAACCTCATAACTTAAAATTTAACATTTAATTAAGTAGGCTTCCATTTTCAATATCACCTAAATATACTATATTGATCCAATATAGAAAGTTAAATTAATG